CGATGACGACGCGCACGGCAACGACGGAAGACGCGCCATCGACATCGTGTCCAACATGCCCCGTCCGCTGCAGCTTGCGGGTGGCGCCATGTTTCACGAACTTGTGGGCAGGCGCCGCCACCGAGCAGCACGCATAATTTGCTTAGTGTACTTAAGATTAAGCAAATCTAACAAACATTGCAACCTCAAATTGTCTTTACTTCTTATCCTTCAATACAGCAACCATCGCTTCGAGGCGCGGGTGCGAGTCTCGGCATGTACATACGTCGTGGCGCGGTGCGGGTTGAGTGGCGCCTCGACCGCAACGTGCACTCCTTTTTGTCGGCAAAGTTGGCAATCCACAATAGTATCAATCCTTCGACTCGATACCGCGATAGACGTACGGAAGTGGCCTTCACCGTGCGCGTCCCATACACCAATTCTTCGCAGAGGACCGCACTGCGATGATGGATCTCTCCGTGCGCAGCTCACTCGTAACGACCAAGTGCTGATGCCAACTCCCACGCATTATTCATGCGTAGCACTACGTATGCGAACTCTTTGTAAGGAAGATAACGCGAAACACGATGACATATATATACAATGCGGCGCTCGTGGCGCGTCGGGAGCGCCGACGAAGGCGTAAACGTGAGCTTCCCGCTCGGCGTCTTGCTTCAAATTCGCCTGCTCTTGCGCGACCACGTCCGGGCGGCGCTGGCGCTTCAAAAGCGCGAACGACGATGCCTCCTTTCTATTGCAAACATCGTGTTTGTGAGGACGACATGGCCATCGATCGAGACCGAGACGACGCTGCCGACCTTGATGAACGGCTCGGCAAACGCGGCCTTGACGTCGATCTCGAACGCCTGGACGAGATCTTCGGCAAAGAGCACGCCGAGGTAGACAGAGGTGTCAACGCTCGCGGGAATGACAACGAGACCACCGTCCGAGCGATCGTGGCCGGCCAGCGCCACTGGTTGTCGATACAGCTTTGGAGCGTCGTGAACGCGGCCTGGCATATGTCAGTTGCCGATTCGCGCGTACACCTGCGCGGGCGCCGAGCCGCTTTGGCAATGTCACTTGGTGGCAGTACTGGCCGCTGCCAGGTCGCCGCCATCGCGCTTGAGGACCGGCGTCACCGTCTTCTCGACGTCCGACTGCGCCGTGCATGGTGACGACAAGCGTCCTTGACGTTCTCGGTCGACGAGCAACGACACTCCTTCTCTACCAATCAGCAGTCGCAGACAACGAATGCGTGGCGCCAATTGGTCACGCCGGTGCAATTCTGGATGAAGTCGGTACGTCTCTGGGTACGTCTCGTGCTCGGGACAGAAGAGGCAGGCTTGATCGGCCCTGTCGAGCCAGTGCAAATGTGCGCGGGACTTGACCGCGCGGAGCCAGGACTTGGCCGTGGTGTCTACATGTAGCTCTACCGGTGATGCTTTAAATGTCGACCCTGCGACGTTTGCTTGCGTTGGATTGGCTATTGGAGACCGACTTTCTGCCAATCCGATCGCGCATCCGGATACGAAATTTCGAAGCTGGATTCCAAACACAAACCAAGATGACCGACGGCGAGCGCAAGCAGAAGACCGCCCGTGTGACGCCGCCAGACGCGCTCGCGCTTCCGCACGTGGTCCAGGCCATTGCGATGTGCTTGAAGAACCAAGCGGACTTTAGCAGCTTTCTGCATGCGGTACCACGCTCGCTCTGGACCCCGGCGCTCTCGGCCTTTCTCGACTGCACCACCGTGCTGCCATCGTCGGTGAACGCCAACTGGCCGCGCATTGTGCTGCACAAAATGGACTGGCCGCCTTCGGTGTTGGCGCTTCTCGCGGCGACGCTGCCGCTGCGTCCACGCATCGAACTCCAGTTTGCGGTCCGGGACGCAGCGCCACTGGCCTCGCTCGTTGCCGCCCTCGGACCTGCGCTCAGCAGCGTCATTCTCAATTTCTACGACAGCATCATGATCCAAGGCCGAGACCAAGCGATCAGCAACCTCCTCTCGCAGCGCTGCCCACGTCTGCGCCGCGTGGCTATCTCGGTCCAATCTTCTTCGGAGAAGGATGCCGTCAAGTTCATCGGCCTGCTCGCTGTCGTCGCCCACCCACTTGTCTCCGTCTCGTCTCTCTACCTCGAGGGCGTGACTACCGTGCCACGACTCGGGCACCTCTTGGCTTCTTGGCTCTCGACGGCGCCAGCGACGAAGCTCCGATTGGCCAATATCGCGCAGATGGACCATGAGGGCGCCATTGCGTTCTGCGATACGCTGCAAGCCAACACAACCCTCCAACGGCTCGCCATCGACAAAGTCCCCAGCCTCGGTGGCTTCCACGGCCGCACGCTCCCAGTGTCGTTGAAGACCTTGGCGTGGGAGAGCCGCCCCAACAGAGTCGTCGACGACACAACTCTGACGGACCTCGCGACCGCCGTCGGGCCCACGCAGCTCGAGCGTCTCGAGTGCAGCGCCTTTGGCCAGTTGGCAACATGCCCGGCGGCGGCGCCGATGCTGTCGCAACTCCAGTGCCTCATGGTCTCCTGGTTGCACGCCAACTACATGCCGGCATTGATCGCGGGCTTGTCGTCGGTTCCGGCGCTGACCTCTCTTTATCTTTGCTATTGCGACGTCACTTCGTCGACGGAGCTGCTCATGGAGACGCTCGCGACGACGTGCGTGCATCTCGAGACGCTGCGTGTCATCGATCCGCAGTTGACGCGCGATGGAGTCACCGCTCTTCTTACGGGCGTATTGCAATTGCCACTCTTGACGACGCTGGACCTCCGGATGCATCTGCTGGATGCGTTGCATGTGCTTCCAGAGCTCGTTGCTGCGGGTCGCCACCTTCGCAGCCTCACCTTAATGAACATCGGGCGCAACAACTACGATCATGAGAAGCGAGCGATCTACAAGGCGCTGGCGCAAGTCCCCGACGTCCCATTTGTGGCCTACACGCTACCAGAGGACATGGATGGATCCGTCGTCGACGCGCTTCGTCGACGAGCCGATCGCCGCTACCAGTGCTACTTGGCTCTCTAATCGCTACGGATGGCAACTAACCAGATATCTTTCTTTGGTTCAACGTACGTACAGTATCCAAGCAGCATCGCTACTAGGATTGCAGGCCCATCTAAAAGCTATTCTATCGTGACGCCGGTCCGTAATTTGATCGCTCAGGCGCGGGCCGTTGTACGCTCGACGGAACGAGCAGCCACACCGACCTTGCGTCACCACAGCGATCTTCCGCTTTAGCTCTTGAGCTTCTTTGATCGCAGTGTAGCTTGACTCTCGCAGCTGGACGCTGTCGCGCCGCCGAAGCTTGTGCTATGGGCTTGGTGCGCAAATTGCACTGTTGAAAAGCAAATGCAGCAGGCGGGTGAGCGCATGCGGCGGCCATGGTGTCGCTGGCGCGTCAAAAGCTCAATTCCGTATCCGGATGTGAGACCGGATTGGTGGAAATCCTAATCCAGCAGCCAATTCAGCGCCAGCAACGCAGTCCTAGACGACGTGGGTCTCGTGGTGGCTACGACACGCAAGATCGACTTGTGTCCTTGCTCATGACGCATGTCCAAGGCGTGCACCTGCATTTGCTAGATGATGGACTGTTTGCGGCAACCGAGTTTCGGCCAATCCGATGGCGTATCCGGATATGGAATTTCGAAGCCTTTGTGTGCGACATTGCCAACGACTCGATCGACGTGCCCGACGCGTCCATCGACGTTGCGCTCGTGGTTTTCGTGCTCTCGGCGATCCTTCCGGGGGCCATGGACGCGGTCGTCGCCAAGCTGCACAAGGCGCTCAAGCCCGGCGGCCTCGTGTGCTTTCGCGACTACGGCCTCTACGACCTCGCGATGCGCCGGTCGACCAAGCGCATTGGCAGCGACGAGGCCGACGCGCTCTACTTTCGCGGCGACGGCACGCTGGCGTCCTTCTTTTCGGTACAGGCCGTCGCTGATGTCTTTGGCAAGTATTTCGAGGTCGTCGAGAACGAGTACAACACGGTGCGCCTTCGCAACCGCAAGACGGGCACCAACATGGACCGCGTCTTTGTTCACGCGAAACTGCGCAAGCCACTCGACGCCTTGTAGCACGATTTTGGAAAGCCAATGCGTCGGTAAAGTTACACTTGTCGCACAACGATCATACCAAGAAGAGTTTATTATGGTCTATGGGTGGTGCTCGATGCATTGGTTTCGAAACATACGCTGTGTTCGAGGCCGTCGAAGCGACGGCAACGGAGTACGCTGGGCGAAGCACGACGCTGCGCACTGTCGACCGACAGCACTTTGGCAATGTCACTTGGTGGCAGTACTGGCCGCTGCCAGGTCGCCGCCATCGCGCTTGAGGACCGGCGTCACCGTCTTCTCGACGTCCGACTGCGCCGTGCATGGTGACGACAAGCGTCCTTGACGTTCTCGGTCGACGAGCAACGACACTCCTTCTCTACCAATCAGCAGTCGCAGACAACGAATGCGTGGCGCCAATTGGTCACGCCGGTGCAATTCTGGATGAAGTCGGTACGTCTCTGGGTACGTCTCGTGCTCGGGACAGAAGAGGCAGGCTTGATCGGCCCTGTCGAGCCAG